CGGCACAAGGTATCGTCACTTCGGCCTGGTCCTAGTTCTCTCTCACACGGGACAAGTCAGCCCCATTCCTAGAGTGCTCGGACATTGGCACGTCCTGAGCCTTTTGGGCATAGCGATCGTTGAGAAGGTTACAAAGGTCGGAAACTAGTGGGAGAGAGGTGTGGCACCGATCTCCTACCCTTGGAGGAGAGTTGTAGTGGCTCGAGCGTCCACCATCATCTCGACTGGTCGCCGCACAATGGTGTTGACGACCGAGGTTCTTGTGCTCGGTGTGGGACCCCACGGGATCGTTCCCTCTGATAGGGAGCTAAGGGGTCTTGGAACGAGCTTTGCCAGCCTATCGATTGTTGTTGCCTGACTTCGAGGGGTCAACTCTCTCCGGGCCGCCCAAGTGCTGGCTTAGTGTGGTACGGGCAGATCGTATGTTGTGTTGTCCATGCTTTCCGACGGGGTGGCCACCCTATGGGTGGTTTCCTGTCAGATGCCCTATGTTGTCCAATCACTAGGCCAAGTTGTCCAATATGTTCAAGACCAGCTTGAACTAGTCAATTGTGACTAAGTTTCGGACATCAGGGATGGGGTCTTGCTTGTCAACCATTATAGGGGACACTAGTTGATTAAATTAGGTTTGTTTTTTTCTTAAGGGGGAGTTTTGAAGACGTTCCCACAAACAGCGCCAATTGTTGTTGCCAAATATGGAGCCAAGGGAAAAACATAATTTCTAGCGTCTGAGGCCGACGAGTCCAACTTGTTGAAAGAAAGAAGATGTCAAAGGCCCCAGGAGGTATCCCAAGGGCAAAGACTCTGACGGTCAAGTTAGCAAAGGGCTACGAGGGGTCAGACCAAGCAAGAAAGGAGACTTAGAGCTTAAGTTCCAATCTGTCTTTACCTCAATGTGGGAGCCCATTTTAGTAGTCAAAGTTAGGGGTGAGCAAAAAAAAAACTGAAAATTTGAACCAACCGAAAAATCGGTTAACTGAACTAGTCGATTCGTTTCAATTAACCAATATAGAAAACCGACGGTTAATCAAACTGATGGGTATACATATATTTCTATATATTTTAGATATATTTATGTATATTATATATATTTAATATTTTTTATATATTATAAATTAACAAACATGCATTGTATATATAAATAAATATATAATATGATATATTATCTATTATTTAAAATATAATATTTTATTATATATTTATATATACATTTATAATATATTATAAAAATCAAAAAATCGATGAACCAAATTGACGGTTAATCGATTGGTTTCGATTACCGGTTTTCCAAAAAGCAATAGTACCAGTTCAGTTACAAAAATGACCCAACCAAACCGTGAGCACTCCTAGTTGAAGTTGCCTTAAAAGAGGAGTAGTTGGGAGCAGGTGGTAGCGGTTGGAAGTGATTGGTTATGGATGGCCAGGGTGCATCCGACCAACACCACATATTAGGATCCACAGGATGGTTGGGATGCATCCAGCCAATGCCACATGTCAAGATCTACAGATCGGCCAAATACCCCTACATTAAAATGTATTTTTGGATTTTTTCCTTCTCTAAAATTTAATTTTAAAAAGCAAACAATGGTTAAAGATTTAAAATTTAAGGTACTAAAATGTTACACTTGAAAGTTTTGGCCTTTAAGTGTTACCAACCCCAAAATACAAGTACTGGTACCTACTATTTTTAGGGGAAAAAGAAAGGCATAAGCCATTCTGCTATTATTGTGGTAAAATGAATGAAGAACATAAAATATAAAAATGTATGAACCGGAAATATTTTATCATAAAAAAGTTATTTAACAAGGTTGAATAGTTGGTGAAGGTTTATTTTGTAGGTGTTAGGCATCGTGGATGTTTCTAGCGAGGTGTTTCCCGGAGGAAACGATAGTGCAACACCTCACTTGAAACGGTCACAAAACAGTTTTTTGTTTGTTTGGCACTGTTGCTGCCACATAGGATAGCATGCAAGTTTTCACCCATATTCTGTTTGGTTTAAATCGTTTTCTTTGAAACTGTTTTTTTTATACAATGTATTGTATAATGTACCAGTGTAGGTTGATGATCAATCTATGAACAATATTTACCTAGCTTCAACCAAGAATCAAAATTTTGTCATGTATCAGTCTATACGGGTCGATATGCCTATAGGGGGTGTTTTGGATTAGTGAGTGGTTTAGGGGATAAACTGTCCTTTAAGTTGGTTCTTCTGAACCAGTTTCGAAAAAAAAAATAAAAAACACATAAAAACAATACGGATACAGGGAGATTATTTTATTGCATATGAATTAATCGTTAATACACATTATGAAAATAAATTCCTATAAAATCTCTTGACACCTGCAAAAAAAATACAAAAAATATGATGATAATATTTAAAAATAGACAAATTTTCACAAAACAATGGAGAGAACCATTCACATGGCAGCAAACAATACTTGAAATTAAGAAAAAACACACCCATCACTAGACGAGAATGAACTCTACCTGCGGCTGCAGTGGAGTTTCTTATATTTTTCAAAAGTTCTCTCTTCGATACTGTCACTGCTACAAATACTAATCTTAAGATAAATGCAAACAAAAAAACAAGAAAAAAAATGGATCAAGAATGAGGAGGATGGAAGAAGGGAGAGCTCCAAGCTCCAAACCTGAAGCAACGAGCAGCGGCACTCTGTTTCTTCTCCTGTTAGGGCTCATTGTTTGCTCGGTTCCATAAAACATCCAAAGAAACAATAGTGCATCACGAATTCACGATGCACTGGATAATGTTCACTAACTGCCAACTCAGCACACACATCAGAGCCACGTCACCTTGGCGTTGGGAGAAATGTTGGTCTCCTGCTTAGACCTGTTCATGGGCCGGGTAGCCCGATGGCCCGGCCCGGCCCTGCCCGCACCCCGGTCGGGCTTGGTCATGTAATTAGGCCCGCGGGCCTGACCTCGGGCCTAACACAGTAAGCCCGACTGTGTTATGGGTCGGTCTCGGGATTTGTCAAAAAAGCCCGGCCCGACTCAGTATTATATATTTTATAAAATACATAATGTGTATTTTATATATTATATAAAATATATAAATAATATAACATTTTATTGAAATATATATATTTATAATTTAATATATACATTTTTTTATATTTTTCTTTATAATTTCTCTCTCACTCTCTCTTTCTCTATTCAGCCGCTTCAGCAGTAGTATCAACATGGGCTAAATTTCGGGCTCGGGCCCAAGTTGTAGGCTCGATGGTCAAGTCGGGCTCGGGCTCGGGCTCGGGCCTTAAAAAAATCTGTTAATACAGAGTGAAAGCCCGGCCCGACCCATGAATAGGTCTACTCCTGCTCAAAAACCTTTTTCGTTTCTTCACGTTTTTAACTAAAAACGGCCTAACCAAATATGATTTTTTACCATTGGAGCCTAAATGCCTATGTGGTGCATACGTGGATGGAAACGGGCATGCAACACCATGATGCCAAACAACACCTTTGTCGTTAGTTAAATATTAATGTTGAAATTAAGGGTGAGCAAAAAAAATCAAAAAACCGAACCGACCGAAACTGAACTGAAAAATCAATTAACCGAATCGGCTAATTCGATTTTGATTCGATGTTTTCAAAAAACCGGCAGTTTCGGTTCGGTTTCAATTAACCATTTAAAAAAACCGGTGATTAACCGAACCAACTGATATATATATATATATATTTATTTATATAAATATTATATATATATTATATATGACTTTTTTATTTTTTTGAAAATCTAATTCAGGCTTTCAGCCTTTTGAAGGTAGACTGACGACTGGCAAACAGGCGAACTCAGGCTTTTTCAACCTTTCCCTTCAAAAGGCCGACAGACTGGCGACTGGTGAACAGGCGAACTCAGGCTTTTTCAGCCTTTCTCTTCAAAAGGTTGGTAGACTAGCGACTGGTGAACAGGCAAATTTAGGCTTTTTTAGCCTTTCTCTTCAAAAGGCTGGCAGACTGGCGAACAAGTGAATTCATGCGAACTCACTGCCAGAGACTCTAAGTTTTCTTTGTCACTCTCGGTCTTAGTTCTCTTCTTCCCCAACGGAGCAATGGCCTCCAACGCTCCGCCCTCCGATCCAATCATCGACAATCTCCGATGATCGAGTCACCATCACTGACGTCCGACCAGGTGACCATCTGTCTCGGTCTCTGTTCTCTCTCTCAGATTCTTCTTCTTCCCCAACGCCCTCCTCTTCTCTATTAGTCTCAGTTACTCATCTCTCTCAATCTCTCATCCAATCTCAGTCTTAGTTTTGTTCACTTTTCTTTACTCTCAATCTGCTAAAGGAAAGTTTTTTCTTTTTCTTTTTCATTTTTTTTTTAATTTTCAGTGCATAAAAAACCAAAAAACCGAACTGCGGTTAACCGGTTGCATCGTTTGGATTTCAGTTCGGTTAGATTTAAAAACCGAACATGTCGGTTCAATCTAAAAAATTTTCCCACAGTTCGGCCGAACTGTAAGCACCTCTAGTTGAAACTAGTTGGCTCCATTCTCATTAAGCCTATTAAGCCTATCAATGATGTTTGGAAATTTGCAACCCAATCCGACATCTAATCTTATTATCTCGAATTTGTATAATGTATTTATGTAATCATATTGAATTTGGATTTAATTCCACCTGATTTGATTAAAATCCAAATCCAATTATATTATAATATTTATTATTTTAATATAATTATATTTAAAATTATAAAATTTTAAAATTTAAAATAAAATCGATAAAATCCAAATCCAATCCGATTACAATCCTAACCAAGGGAGCCCAGGCCAAGGCCAAGGGGAGCCTTGGAGTATAATGTATTTATATAATCATATTGAATTTGGATTTAACTCCACCTGATTTAATTAAAATCCAAATCCAATTATATTATAATATTTATTAATTTTAATATAATTATATTTAAAATTATAAAATTTAAAAAATTAAAATAAAAATCGATAAAATCCAAATCCAATCCGATTACTAACCAGAAGGGGAGCCTTGGTCCCGCAGCCCCATGCCCCCAAATTACCTACTTATATCACTACTATATATCAAAGCTCTTAGCCCCCATCCTCGCTCCTCCCCTAGTTGAGTATGGGGTCGAAGGTAATTTGGGCATGCTTCATTTTGACAAATGGGGGATAAAAGCTTTACACATTTTACTCAAAAAAAAAAAACATTCATTTTCAAAAGGACGAAAGTGCCCATTTTTATTATTATTAATTTTTGAAGACACCATTTTTTATTATTATAATGGGATATGCCCTACAATTTATCTAGATGGAGTGTACCCAAATAGGTTCATCACACGACTAAATGACGAAAATAACCCTCACACACGAATATTCTCTCTTGTTTTGGGTGTAAGCACGGGTTTAGCACCTCAACTCAGCGGCCCATTACCGTTACGTGAAAATTTGGAAATCCTCTCTCCGTTCCATATTTCCATTCCATTCCTCTCCGCCTCCCTATCTATCTATTCCCAGAAGTCCAGAACATGTAAAACGCTTATGCGCATATCTTCAAACGCAATCCAACGCTACTTCTTCCTTCTTCTTCTGCTTCACCTTTAGAATGCTCGCTCTCTTTTCTTCGACCAATCTAGAACAGAAGATCTGAATCACAGAGGAAAGGAAACGCCTTCTTTAAAATATTGTTTTCTTCGTCAGTCGGCGTTCGAGGTAGAAAACCTTTCCCTCTCCCTCATTGTGAGACAGAAGAGTAAAGATTCTAGTAGGTTGCCTGTCATTCTTTGCTCAAATTTCCTCCAAATTCTCTTTTGTTTCTTACGCTTTTCTAGAATCACTGGGTACCCATTAATTTTTGTAGCGAATCTCAAGTGGGTTTTATGCCCAAAGAGCATAATTTCTGAATAGCAGTTATTTCTGTCGGAGAGAAAGAGAGAGAGAGATGAAGAGTCTTTATGCATGTGTGTACTGCGTAGTGCTGGGTGTTAGGGTTCTGCAGTTAAACCTGTTAGGTTTATGTTTTGATCTCTTCTGGCTTATGCAAGAAGCCAGAAGGCGTCTATGAATTAAAGATGTGGATCTCCGGATGTGGTTGCAGATTCTAGGTCGAATTTTGATGTGTAACGAGTTGCTTCTTTTTTTTTTTTTGTTTTTTGGGTTTCATGTAGCTCTTCTTGTGATGACCCGTGCATCTCATTTGATTTTTTTGGGTTCCATATTTGGAAATTTTTGTTTGTTCACCATGAATTTGCTTTTACTAGGTGTTTCAACATTTTCTTGGTAAGAACTAGGTCTTTCAACATGGATCAGGAAATTTATGGCACGGCTGTGCATTATGCTGTTATTTGTGGTTGGAAATCCTGTTCCACAATAGAAATGTCTTGGTTATTCTGATTTTGATTTTATCTACATCCACTTTCTTTATATTCTTTTTTCCTTTCCTTACTTTTGAAAATACCTGTTTATACAGTGGATTCTGTTAATGATGCGAGATTGAATATTCCCTATAATGGAATTGCTTTAAGAACACGTTATTTTTTGGTAGAGTGTTAATGAAGCTGATTGTTGATGTGCATGTGTCATTGGATGATTCTGCTTTTATAATGACTTGAGCATTCAATAATTTCAAATGAAAATGCAGGAATTCGTGTTCCTTTATATGCTCTTTTCTGCATAAATTCATTGTTTGATGTGATGGATTTTAGGAAATATGTTTTAAATATCTCAATCCATAATTTTTATAAAAGTGCATTTTGCAGATTGATTGGCTTTGTAAAGAATATTTTGTAGAAAGAGGGGCACTTTCAAAATCAATAAGGTTGGTTTTACGAAGCCTGATTAATTTCTTTCTTGCCTTGCTAATCTGATATGATAGGTTAAAAATCCAGATAGTTAGTCCTGCTAAGTTTATGTTCAATATCACTCCCACTAATCTCTAGTAGTTTTCTTTTGTACTTTTTCCACCATTTATAATTTTGTATACTCTACTAGTGTGAGATTTGTGTTCGAGATTACATGCTTTAGACAGTAGCTTATTTTGCAAATATGAACTCTTCCTTCAAAACTGTCCATGTTGTACAAATTCTCTTCCTATAAATTTCAGTAGTAACATGCAATTGGCACTAATTCTTTGTCCATACTACAGTTTCTATCTGACCCCCTTTTTTTCTGTATTGTATCTGGCTTCTTAGAAATCCATACAAAATTGGCCCTTTATTTAGTTGCTTTCTTTTGTCTAAACAGCATGCACTGGACAAGCCACTGTTTATTGAACTCACATTTCGTGTATCTATTTCTTTTAATCATACAAGGTTCTTTAAAAGAAACCTATTATTAAACAACATTATTCTTTTCCTTTCTTCATTACTTCATAGCTCCTTTGGATTCCCATATAACATCAGATCAATTGACAGTATTAGTGATGATTAAACTTATAGTGCAATTACTGCAGTGGTTTGTTTGGATTCTACCTGTGTCAACAATACTGGTCACTTCTCAAGGTTTAAACATATATTAACTTTGGTAGTAATCTATATTGGTCAGAAACAGCTAGGTATGGTGTTGGACACAGAATTTACACTATAATTTCAAGTATCTGACATAATATGGCATCTTTGTATAGGTATCTTGTATCATAGGTCATAATTGGATGCTGGGGATTTTATTTCTTTTCCATTGGCCGATTGATTACTAATGTCACAAATAAGGATAGGTTAATAACAATGACAATACTCTTGTATTCCTTATTTATATTCCTAGTTTATTATTTATTGATTTCCCCTTTCTCTCTTTCTTTTCTTAACTATAAGTTCTTGCTAAATTTTAGATTTAGCATACTCTTATTTTTCGCATGCCCTAAATTTATTTATTTCTTACGAATCTCTACAAGCATTTCATATGCATTGCCCTCATGTTTTTTTCCACAAGTGTGGCTGATATCTGTAACTAAGCTAAACTTTCTGAACTTTTCTTTTTCCTGTACATTAACTGAAGTGTCAAACCTTAAATTTTCACCAATTCATATGGTATTTTTTCCCCTTTCTGCTGGTTAGAGTTTTACCTCTCCCCTATATTCTTGACTGAAGGTTTGGATTTCTTTTTTTTTTCATTTCTTTGAGTGATGTCAAGGCTTTTATTAGGTGAAAAGAAAACAGTATTAGAAAAGGCCAGATTTTGGTTAAGATGGTATTTTGTATTTTAAGTTTTTGATTACCGGATACTATATTACTAATGCCATATTTTATCCTGCTATTTAAAATGTTGATTTTCTTTGCCAATTCCAGGGGCCATTGCTTGTTACAATGGTAAAATCTTAGGCTGACAAGTGTGAAATTGAGTTCAAGTCTGAGAGCGGCCCCTTTGTGTAAAAATATGCCAAACATTAGTCTGAGTCCACTTCTGGGATCAATATCAGTGATGGCCCTTCTTATTTCCTTTGCTAATCTCCTCCCACCCCCAGTTCTGATATCAGATATTTTTAGTTCTCTCAGACTTGCAGTATCTTTTTGTTTGATGCTACCATTGCATTTTTCTTTTTCCTACTGTCCACCAACACATAACATTAAATAGCACCCTTTGTTTCCTTGCATTTTTTGTTATCTTTTACCTTCTTGATGTACTTTTTTTTTATAAATAAGATGAGCTTTTATTAGACTTTACAAGCATCCCTTAGAGAGGCACGAGATGCTATCTCTCTATAAAATGCAAAGAGCAAAGAAAATTACAATGGAGCCCAAAACAATACATCCCTATTCACCCCTTGCTTAGCCAAAGCATCAGCCATCTCATTTGCAGATCTCCTCACCCATTGTATCCTGAGATTCATATTCCTAGTAAGCCACTTAAACTTCTTCATTTCATTTCTGTAGCACCAGGTTATAGAGTCCAGGTCCTTTAGACAGCCCACCACCACTTTTGAATCCCCTTCTATCACCAAATTTGCTAACTGTAACTCATTGGCAATCTGCACCCCTTGTAATGCTTCCAGCAACTCTGCTTTGAGAGAGCCACCCAAGCCCACGGGGCTGGAAAACAAGGCTATAAGTTTACCTTCTAAATCTCTCAATACCCCTCCTATACCCGAGGGGCCTGGATTTCCTTGGCTGCTCCCATCGAAATTCAGTTTAACGAAGCCTTCCATTGGAGGTGACCATTGCATCTCCACACGTTCCTTTCTTGAAGAGATTTTTGCAATTACTTCCCAATTCCTCCAAACATCACCAATGGGGAGAATTGGGAGAACAACTCCAAAGTCCTCACCCAATGGACCACCCTGACCATTGCACAATCCCTAACAGCTTCTTTGTGTCTCTCTTTACCTGAGAAGATCCTAGCATTCCTTTCTTCCCATATAGTCCACACCATAGCTGCTCTAACACATCTACACATTATTCTTCCCCTTTCTTTGGGCCACGAAAACAAAGAAGGGTTGAATAGCATATTGACCTCTGATGGTGAAGTCCACCTGCACCCAAACAAAGAGAACAATGAAATCCAAATCTCTCCAATAAAAGGACAAGAGATCAATAGGTGATAGCAACTCTCTTTATTGGATTTACACAGTATGCACCAATTAGGAGAGAGACAAGAATTAGGCATTTTCTTTTGTAACATATCTAGAGTATTAATCTTCCCATGCACTACTTCCCAACAAAAAGCTCTTACTTTGTAAGGAATGGGTCTACACCAGAATTCTTTAAAGGGAAAGGATGGAGGGTCTGAAGAGATGCACACAGTCTTAAACAAAGAGGCATAATAGAACAAACCCTTAGAATGGGGCCCAAATAAGCTTATCAGGTTTGTCAGGGTCTAAATTGACATTTTGATGTATTTGTAAAATTTCTGAACAAGCTGAAACTTCACTGTCTCTTAGGCCTCTCCGAAAGCCAAAGTCCCAATTGGGGCCCACAGGGAGTAAAGGAGGAACAATACATTTAGACACATTCATTTTTATACAGGGATACCAAATATAAGGTAGAAAAGAGATCCTTCAGCAGACTACAGCCAACCCAAGTATCCTCCCAAAATTTAACAGAAGCCCCAAAGCAAACATCATACCTGACAAACCAAAGTAGAAAAGGCAAAGTGCGATGAATGGCTTTCCACTGAGAGACCAATGTGGCAGATACTCCTGCTTCTTGTTTCAGTCTAGGTAATAGAAATTAGTGCCTCATCACATAAAACTCTGGATATTTGAGATAATAGAGTTCAATTTCTTTGTAGAGAATATGGCATATGAATTTAATAAGGTGGTGTTTGAAAACCTAGATACTTGCCACCCATGTCTAAAAATAATTGCACAAGTGGTTATCCCTCTTTTAATGTGTTTGGTTATACCTCTAAAAGGTTTAGTTATATCTGAATTTTTCTCTGATCAACAAGTGATTGAATCACCACTTATCATATTTTAGTTGTGTATATTAGTGCTTCCTTTACTCCTAGCCTTCTAAAGATTTCATAATGACAAGAATACCCTTGTACATATGTTCAAAAAGAATAAATTGCAATTGTCACTCTGGTTGAAAGTTCCAGAGTTGTCATAGTTTATACTTTCAAATGCCACCTAACTGGGTTATTGTTTTCATACTTGTTCAGCTACTGATGATATTTATAGAGTATTAGGCTAAGGCTGCATTCGGCATTCCTTATTTTAAGGACTTAATCTCTTTTTTGCAATTAAAATGCCCTTATGAACACTGAATTTTTAACTGCAAAAAGGAGATAAATCCTTAAAATAAGGAATGCCAAATGCAGCCTAAATGAAGAAGTGGCTTTGAATACAAGATTAAAAGATGTTTAACTCTAGTAATCTCTTAAAGCAGAAATCTGTTAGGGAAATATGGATGTAGGCCTTGTCATATATTTTTCCTTCTTAATAAGGAGAATTTAAAAGGGGATGTGCAAGCTGGATATCTTTCCTACAGAGAAAAAACTTTCCCACACCTGTATTTGATCAATGACTTGGCTTTTCTCCTCATCATTTAATATCAGGTGAACATCCTTATCAAAATGTACCTGGGGTTTTTGGAATTATTATTCCTTTTCAATAAAAAAGCTGGAATTCTGTGTTTGCATGAGGTTGCTTTGCCACTACTCTGGGGGCTTTTAAGTCTCTTTCCATCTTCTCATATGTTGTGTTTGGATCAGTGTTGCATAGACTCTTCTAAATGGATGATGCATCTGCGACTGACATGCATCAAATTCTGACACTATGGATTCTTGACATGTGTAACATTGAAAAGCTAATTTTCAGGATGAACACTATTGTTCATATTAAATGTTACTTAGTAACAAAGGCAACATTTTARACCCGTTTTTTTGTGGGTATACTATGTTAGATTAAAAAAAAGCGATTTGAATAGCCCTTAGTGCATGAGCAAAATAACCATCTTTGAGAGTGTGTGGAAAAACGAATAGTAGTGCACTACAACTAACAACGATTCAAAACTTAGGCTTTAACACTAGCATGCTCTAGCTTGAGAGTTCAGAAAGGATGCACTACTTCACGGCTCTTTAGCCAGCTGTTTGGCTGCACTACTGTGCAAAGGCTTTAACACTAGACAATTAATATGTTCCTTGTTTGATCTATTTTCTTGCAAGGTGTCAATACAGCCATTTTGAAGCATGGCATGCTAGCACTCAACTTAGGTTAGGAGCTTTTTTCACATTGTTATTTTTTAGCCTTTTTTTGCAGTCTTATCCTGTGGAATTTGAATTTTGATAAAACAAGGAATTTTCATGGGCATTTTGTCCATGTTTCTCCAAGTTATGTGAAGCCTGTCTATGTATCATTAGCTCTTCTCTGATTTCATTAGTAAAAGTTATTGGTTCTGACTAAAGAAAGAAATGTTTTCCAAAAGTTTTTGTAGGAAAAGTTTAATTCATTGCTAAGATGTCGCTTTATGTCATGCAAGTTATACAAGGAGAAAATATAGGGAAATCTAGAATTAGTACATGAAAAAAATTTATGGGAAAGAGGTTGCTAGCTTTGGCCAGGTCAAAACAGATCTAAGTCTGTCTTGGATCCCTCCCCCCATTGGTTTTATAAAGCTGAACTTTGATGGCAGTAGTAGAGGAAAGCCTGGGCAATTTGGCATTGGGGGAGTTTTCAGGTATGAGAATGGGATTGTCTCAGCCATTTCTCAGGTCCAATTGGTGTAGGTGACTCCCTCAGGGCTCTGAGGTCTTTGCGGTCCTTGGAAGGTGTTCAAAGGGCAAGAGAAATGAACATTAAGGAGGCTTGTAGTTGAGGGGATTTGGAGGTGGTGGTAGGGCGGCTGAAAGAAGATTAGACTTGGTTATGAAGCTACAGTAGTGAAGAGAAAAAATTCAAGTGGCTGGCTAAGGACATGTAAATAAAGTACAGTTGAGTGAAGATATCTGCTAACTCGTTTGCTGATGGGTTAGCCAAGGAAAAGGGGTGATTAGGGAATCTCTATTCTGGGCTCAGTTGTAATCCTGGTTCTTTTCTTTTTGGGGGCTCTAGATTCTATTGGGGGAGCTAAGATAGTTTATCTCCCCTACTTTGTAATTAATTATTCTATTTGCTTAGTGAAAGTTTTGTTATTGATCAAAAGAAAAATATAGAACACATTTTCTTTTTTGCCTATCCATGTACATAGAATGGAACCAGTCAAAGAGGTTGGATTTGGTTGGGTTCTTTTGAGATACTAAAGCAACAAGAATAATGTGATATAAACTTACTGATAAAAAGTGAGATACCATGTTTGATCAGGAATGCTTACCATAGGTCAAGTAGCATTTTTTAATGTCTGTTGTATTGCTTAGGAGAACACTTCCAAGGTAAACATCTTATTGACATCTGATTGTGTTTGCTGATAAGAGGAGAAAGAGCATTAAATATAGTAGCAGTTCCAATGCTTAAATAAAATGTGATGCTCTGTATTCATCTTGAATCGATTTTCTAGAACAACAACAAAAGAATTCATAGCACTACTGTTATTGTAAAAGTGGTGGCATTGGCATAACCTAATTTGCATAAGAGAAGTGAAGGACATTAGAGTAGTGACAATGGTATGTTGTGCAAGGCATAAAAGCATCCAGGAATCACTAGTATTACAAGGCAGTCTCCAGAACAATAGAAAAAGGTTCCATAGAATATGCTCTAACGGCTCAAGGTTCCCTTTATTACATAGATGGCTTTGAGGAGCTTACCAACATGAATGTTCATGTTCATGATCTTCTATGGTTCCATGTATTTATATCAGAGGCAGAGTGTTGTTATATGCATATGGAAGTTTTATAGACATGGGTTTTGGATGGAAAGAAGTTGGTAAAATAAAGTGAAAAAAAGCACGAAATTGTTTGTGGATCTGGACCTTAGATTCTAAATATTAATTTGAGTGGAAGATCTTCGTTAAGATTTTAAGTTGCTCCATTTCTTCCTTTCCATCTTTCCTTTTCTTTGATAAGCCCCTTTGCCCTTTAATTGAAATTCAAACAACCACAATTTGATTTTCTACAAAAAATGGAAATGTTTATATCTTCCACTCCAATCAAAGCATCAATTTATCCACATGAGCTAAATAGATTATATTATAGAAGGTAAAATGTTACTAATTTAATAATGAAGTTATTTATTAGTTCTTTTGAGTTGAGAGCTAGAATCCTCTTATTTCCTATCCAGAATAATTTCCTTAACAATAAGTTGTTTTTCAATATTTATTCTTTCCTATATTCTAAACTGGCTGGCATATTTGATGTTTCAGATTGTATACTCCATCATACAAGCCATCATTCTCCAATGAGAATCAATTGATTCTGTTATAGGAACCTTGTCATGTCCGGATTAATTGAAGGTCTCCCTGATGCAGTTGTTCTCCAGTGCCTTGCTCGGGTGCCTTATTACCTCCATCCTAAGTTGAAGCTTGTCTGCCGTTCATGGAGAGCCGCTCTTAGCAGTCCTGAACTCTTGAAGGCCCGGCATGAGGTTGGGGCATTGGAGGAGCTTTTGTGTGTTTCTGCATTTGAGCCAGAAAATTTGTGGCAGCTATATGATCCCCTCCGAGACCTCTGGATGACCATTCCTGTATTACCCTCAGAAATAAGGCATCTTGCACACTTCGGCGTTGTCTCTGTTGGGGGAAAACTGTTTGTGCTTGGTGGGGGAAGTGATGCTGTTGACCCATTGACAGGTGATCAGGATGGCATCTTTGCAACCGATGAGGTTTGGTCTTATGACCCCATTCTCCACCACTGGACCCGGAGAGCTTCTATGCTGGTCCCCCGTGCCATGTTTGCATGTTGTGTGCTGGAAGGAAAGATTGTAGTTGCAGGTGGTTTCACCAATTTCCGTAAGTCGATCTCCAAGGCTGAAATCTATGACCCAGAGAAGGACACTTGGGTCCCTATGCCTGATCTCCGTCTTACTCACAATTCAGCCTGCACCGGGGTGGTGATCAGCGGTAAGGTGCACGTTTTACACAAGGGGCTATCAACAGTGCAGGTTTATGAGAATTCTGAGTGCAGGTGGGCAGTCGAGGATTATGGATGGCTCCAAGGTCCAATGGCTGTGGTCCGTGGGGAGCTGTATGTATTAAGTCACGGAGTTATTTTCAAGCAGTATAAGGAGCAAAGGTTGAGGAAGGTGGTGGCATCAGCAATGGACTTCCAAAGTAGATTTGGATTTGCAATGATTGGATTGAGGGATGAGCTCTACATCGTTGGTGGGGTGATTGGACCAGGCCGTTGGAATGTGGACATCAAGCCGCTATCTGATGTGGATGCTCTAATGGTTGGGACTGAGAGGGCAACTTGGCGCAGGGTGACGCCCATGACACAATGTCATGGTTCTATACTCGGCTGTACGGTGCTGAGGATTTAGGTCTAAACTTGTCATATTGACGTACTGCAACTAATGTGCTCTTCTGGTTCTGGGTTTTAATCCTTACGGTTGGAAGATGGAGATGTAGTGGACTTTGAAGTTTGAACGTCAGCTTCTATATTGTTTATAAACGGTTCTTTAGCTTTTCTTGGTGTTGAATGGTGTATAAGAATTGAGAGATTGATATTCAATGAAGCTACAGGCCTTCATCCTACAAGTTCACTAGATTGGAGTCACTTAACCTGGTAGATTTTTCATGTTCTTTTTTTCCTGTTGCATATTCCAAATTTTCGATCTCCCTACGAACTATATCAATTGTTATTTGTGGCTTTGTGCATTATTATATATATACATAGTTCTCTAGCCTCTCTGGCGCTTAGTTGAAGAAAATAATGGTAGCCAGCAGGTAGGGTCTATGCTTGTGTTTAACGTTTTGGTAGGGAGGTCTATCACCTGAGAGAGCGAATATGGGATTGTCTTGAGAACACGGAACTAGTTTACAAGGCTCATTGAATAATGAATACGGGTCAAAAATTCGGATGAACCCCACTATGAGCTCCTGAGATCAAAACTCTACTGAAATGTGAGAGTTACTGGTGATATATCAGCGCAGGAAGAATCCATCAAAACATTCAGATCACAGCATTTGGCAAATAGCCGTGCATCAACAGCCTTTTTCTGAGAGGCGTTTTATGAAAAAACGGTGCTGCATGAGTATGCTGCTGTCTTCTCAGAAAACTTTTGTTCAGTACTATTGCTGTTGCTGTCACATAGGCATTTTTCAATGGTCTGAGAACGTTTTACAGAAAAAATGGCTGACCAAACATCAGGTGTTTTACCAAAAAACGTATTTCAGATGTGATGCCATTTTTTGAAGAAACAGCCTTGATGCCAAACAAATCAACTACATTTGCCATTTCAGAGATCGCACCGATCAATTGAAATCTAGTCCACAATGCTTCTTAGAAGCCAACTGCAAGGACTGATGACTCGTTTCTATGTTATCTAGATGCGCAAACAAGCTGATCACAGTTAAAACTGTTGCTCTCAATTTCCTCAAATGTGACAAGGAAAGAAGTTTTTGCCTTCCGATGGTGCCCAATTCGAGACTCCATCCATAACTACGATGGACTAGCACATTGATCAACTTCACAGGAGTATCCTATTTACAATGTTGTAAATGTTTAGTAAGGTTTTCTCTCATGGTCTCCCCCTGGGGGTCAACCTGTTGACAGATTTCAGCTCCATAGCCTGGGTCGTGGTGATCAGATAAAAGAACATCTGGTAGTAGTGTATCTCGACTGTCTATAACAATATTGTGAAGTAGACAACAGACCAAGATGATACTGGGTAGCTTCTGCTTGTCAGGTCTCCACATAACCTTGTGAAGTATTCTCCAAGTACCCTTCAACTGTGAGAATGCCCTTTCTGCTAGCAACCTTGCAGCCTTGTGCTTTGCATTAAAATCAACCATGGAGCTTGACAGACCATTGCTTTCATATGGGGTGATGAGCCAAGGGAGAAGAGGATAGGCAGAACCTCCTACTATGAACTCTCTAATTTCAGCTCCATCAGATAACGTTCTTACATGTCCATTCAATCGGTACATACTCTCACAGAGCTTGAAGAACCCTGAGAACTTTAAGAGCCRTGAAAGGGGCATTCCACCAGGCCAACCAGTCATAATGTCAAGAAATCTCATCTCATCATCTACAATTCCCTGTATGAACATACTATAATTATTTGCTTGGTCGCACCAATCTTCTGAGGTTTCAACTGCTGGAAGTGTCATGACTATGTGGGTTGCATCAATAGCACCACAACAGTTAGGCAATCCAAATGCTGCTAAAAACTTGGACTTGATCTCCTCCATTCTGTTGGAATCTGGCCATTTGAGATGGTGCTTAGCTCGCTCCTCCATGGCCTCAATGAATCTCCAGGTCACTTGAGACACTGTGGACTGCCCAACCCCAAAGGCCCACCCTACTGAGACTTGAGAGTCTCCAGAGGCCAACCTCCTTAGGGCAATTGCAACTTGCTTTTCAACACTAAGAAGCCTTCCCTCAATGTTGATGAGACCTGATGGGGGCCTTGAGACAAGATCTTGTCGCACAAGGGAACAGATGTAACCAAATGTCTTCCTTGATACCCTGAAGAAATATTTGAATCCTTCTATTTCATCATTGGGTGCCGAACCTGCATTTATTGAGTGAAGGATCATAACAATTATGTACTTAGATATTTATCAAAAAAAAAAACAATAATGTACTTTGACAACTCAATACTCACTTGTTTCTCAGGTTGGTTTAGTGTTAAGTGTTCCTTGGTAGAAACCAACAAATCAGTATGACTTACTAAACAAGAGTACAAAACATTCTTATTTAGAGAAGTGAAATAGCTAGGATGGAAAATTAAAGTTTCTTCCGGGAGGAATTCAAAGGATGACTGCATTTTCTTTTAACTCCAATTTCATCCTACTAGAGATATGGGATACTCCTGGTCCATGAACTAGAAAGTAAGAGAAAAACCAAAATAATTAGAATTCTGTTCTTCCAACTAGGATGTAGTGGTCCATTCACTGTACCTCTCATTTCATGTTCCTTTACACTAAACAAGCTCTCCTTCTCTGTAAGCTTCTACTGCTGTAGAACAAACCCCAAACCAAAGAAATAAATGAAAAAGATAGGTCCTACAACTAATTTCATTCTGCACAACACACGCATGTATTATTGTGTAAATTTTTTGATAGGGTCAGGAAGTTTTACTGGATAAAGGATTAGCTAAACTTGATATCTGTTTTACAGGCTGTGAGACCAATCGTTTTGTTCCACATCACTCATAAATGCAAGTGAGGGATTGGTATTGTGGGCCATATGCACCTTATGGTTGGTGTGGAGCAAAATGATTGATCCCACAGCCTGCAAAACAGCTATCAAGTTCAGCTAATATGCTCTCATTTTACTAAGTTCAGACAAAGATATACATTTTATGTGGATGATTTCATTGAATAGGGAATAATCTCCTATACTCCACTTGGTGGGAAAATAAGAAGACAATTTTTTGCTTGCACTACAGTTTTAGTGTGGTTAAGCTACACAGAATGAGGGAATGCTTAAATCACAGCTCCTTGGACCCAATGGTGACTGATTCTCCTTTCTTAAAGTAAAAGAATAATTCTATTACTACAATAAGTGTTGAGAAGGGAAAAAGCTCCTCATGCAAAGATAGAATTGCCTATTGAATATGCCCCATATACATCATTTACAATATAAGGGTAAAAAATAATGTTCTTCTGGTCATTAAATAATAACATTATGTGGGTTCAAAAATAATTGGAACTGGTGCTCTTTATGCTCACTTCTTCTTTAATCTCTTCAGTTTCTTTTCTAGTGGCTCCCACCTCTACATGCATGTTACAGCAACTGACTAAAACATTCATACAAAAAAAAAATTTAAAAATAGCAGGAATAGCTTGAAGATAGGGAAAATTGGTAATCATTGTAGGTGTAACAGTTTATATATTCCCATCTAATGGTGATGGAAATGATTGTACAACTTGCCATGCCACTTACCTCCTGACATTCTCTGTAACATCTTATTTATGCATTATCCTTCAAGTTCAAGAGGAACTCTTCTGATGAGATCAAGTAAACTCTTTTTTTTTCTATTCAAGATCAAGTAAACTCCTTAGACCTAATATAAACATATCTTTGTGTTGTTCATCAACCAATCTTTCTCCAAGGGGGTATTTGCCAATATACCAGATATTTCATCCATTATATTCTAGGGAAACATTTTTATACAGATTAATAGGACAAAACAGCCTTTAAACAAAATCAAATAAGTAGGACTAAAACAGAATATATATGCAATATAAATTTAATAATAATAGGAATGGAAATCAGGGTACAATTAGGATTAGAGACCAAGTGACTTCTTCCGTTACCCTGGTTTGATAATTCACAAGGGAAAGATTGAGGAGGATCAGAGGATGTTGCCCATAGAATTATAACATGATGGGAAAAATGAAGGAAAACTTTATAAAATGGTTAGAGGTCGGCAGTGTTCTATAAAGTTTTTTTCTTTTTTTTTTTTTGATAAATAGTGTTGTATAAAGTATTGGATAGTCAAGAAACAACATGTCTAAAAAATGAGTGTGGCAAAAATGAAAATATTGAGATAGATGAATGAGAAAACTAGAAAGGAAATAATTGGTAATGAACTTTATTGTAAAGAACCTAGGAGTAGCTCCAACCTCCAATAGGTGACAAAATGAGGGAAAGTAGAATAAGATGGTTTGGGCACGTGCAAACAAACAAGTTCATATATAGCACCAGTAAGAAGTGATCTATTATAAGTTGAATGGGGCTGGAAGAACTAGGGGAAGACCAAAAAGTCATGGTTTGAAGTAGTAAGAAATGATTTAAAGACCCATAATGAGGAATTAAGGAATAAGGGTTAAATATTCTCAAGTTTAAAGATTACATGACTCTGTTTATGAAGTCTGATCACATTAGCAGTTTGCAATCATGGATTTTGCAAAAATTCCATTTCTCAATAACAGTGAAATTAAAATTTATCATTCAAGAGAACCCATACTGCATCCTGAAAAAATCCTGAATAAGAAGCAACAAAATTAAGGTAAAAACACAACTTTAATTTGAAAATAGAAAACCCGGTAACTGTTTTCCATGGCAAGGTCTACTTGCTTGATATTAACCAGAAAAAAAAAGAATGATAAAAATGGTGAAGGTTAAGTGAGAGATGAACCTGAAGTTGAATTCTTTTGCCAAAAACTATCCCACCAATCAAATTCGGTAGGCTTGGGTTCCAGAGGAACCAAACTTATGTTTATGCATTTCTTTGAATCCATTGATTTCTTTTTGTTCTTCTTTGACTTCCTTGGAGGAGCCATCTGTGGAACAAAAGAATTTAATCTGCTTGTCATCAATATTCTTTTGAAACACATCAACCAAGTCTTATAACGAATGATGATCAAAGGAGCAAAGTGAAAAATTAAAATAGTGGAAAACAACATTGTGGGGGGAGGAGAAAACTACTCTTACCCAATTTTTGTGATAGATTAGTTTCCCTTTCTTTCACTGCTAGGAGGGCAATGATGGAGCAAATTAGAATTATCAATTACCTGTAAGGGATGTCAATGGGTGGGTTAATTGCATAACCCACCCCAGCACTGCACCCCTATTGGAATGGATTTTTGTTTGTATGCCCCTAATCAGGTCAGTGTTGGGTTCAGGTTGTGAGATGCCAATTCATGAAAGCTTTGGGCCAGGTAATGATCTACACCATCCCCAGATCACCATTCCATGAAGATTTGAAATATTTTTATATGAATTGAAATATTAAGATGTCATCTGATAACAGCTGATGAGCTGAAGTGGCTGAACTGAATGATTTATTGTTTTGCCTTTGAGCGGGAAAAATAGTTATACCATCAAATATTTTGGGGGTACAGTAATCAACCCAATATGCCAATATGCCATAATGAAACTAAAGACCACTTATTTCTTCTTCCTTAGCAATTTCTTCCCTTCCATGTCTGCATCACATTCAAACAAAGGTGATCATAACCTCCTTAATGACTTATTCATTAACGCAATAAGTCATTCAGTTCAGTCACGAGGCCACTTCAGCGGTTCTCAAACAGCTATTCATTCCAAAATAATAACACATAAGAAAGGAGCAATTCTATTTTAACTTACAAAGATTCATGTGGCCTGTTATGAATTTATTATTTATGCTGATAAGAAACAAACTGAGGGATTTTTGTTTCGACCCATACTTTTGAGGTTAGAGGTTGTCATAGTTTGCAAATAATGGCAATATAGAGCCATAAGCATCAAAGCAACAAGCTAAAAGCCTAAAACTCAATGAAAATTTGCACTTACCAAGAACACAACTATCCCTTGCTAATTTTTGTGGATTTGTTGCCTAAGGATGGAGTTAAAAGCCTGAACTTGATAATCCCAATTTCAAAACAAATAATCAGCCAGAGATCTTTGCGCAGATGTTCAATCGATCTTACATTCTAAGTTTCTTAGTGGCGTTTTCTGAAATAAAAACATGGAAAGCCAACGGAGTGTGGGCATCAACGTCTGGATCCATGACATGGCATTGAACAGTCGGCTGACTTCATCAAGAACCACGGCGGGCTGTTGACTAACTTCAATTGATCTTGAGCAGAAGAGAAACGAAAGAGTCTAAAAAAGATGGGATTGACTTGAGATTGAGGATGAAAGTGTTGATAGTGCCTTCTGGCTAAGGGAAGAACGAAAAGAGACAGAAGAGATGAGGATAGAGGTGTTCGGTACTGGCTGCCGGCTGGGCTGAGGATAGAGAAAAAGATGAGAGATGGAAGAGATGAGAATGGAGTTGTTGGTAGTAATCAAAAGGGAGCATATCACTTAACCAACAAGATGTGAAGTAGAATGGAAGATGAGAGATTGTGAAATCGGGCCATTGAAGTCTTGAAGAAGAGTAGTTGCCTCTTTCAAGTCTTACTACCCTGAGAGAAAGATAGAGAGGAAGACCTATACCGAGTTATTGTGAAATCAAACCATTACTGCTGATATGCAGAGACCGAGGTTAGAGAAGAAATGGCGAGAGAGCGCAGGCGGATCGACTGGAAACCAGAGAGAGAGGGTTTTCATTCATTTTTGGAATATATAGGCTCAGGTTTGAAGGAGTACAAATACAAATATACGGAGTGCAAAACTTGCATTCTGTATTAAACCTTACGCCCCATTCGTTTCGGTAAATAAGAGAGGGAAAAGTTTAGTTAAAGTGATTCTTATCTTATCTTATCCATATATATATATATATATGTATATTAATCTGGAATAGGTGGTTTTCTGAAACGGAATCTACTCGTGCGAGTATCGTGCAAATATTTCACGCGTGTATCGCATCAATTGCATGCTTCTTCCCAAGTTCGAAGGGAGAGTTCCTCTTCGAGAGAGCTCCTTCGCCTTTCGATTTTCGCTGCCGTTCGAGATGCTTCTTCCTAAGTTCGAAGGAGAGCTCCTTCGGGCCTGTCTCCTCTTCGCGTAGATCTGATCGATGGCTGTTCCGAAGGAGAGCCTGTCAATGAAAATGCAAAGTAACATCTCTCTCAATGGTGGTGATCGGACATGCTAGCAGTTTCACCGGCAAGCTTCAACATTACCAGCGAGACCAAGTGTTGTAGTAGCATCACCGGCTCTGATCTCTCCATCATCTTTCTTTTTTTTCTTTTTGTCTTTTTGCTCTCCCCACATCACCTCTCTCGCACTTTCTCTCTCTCCCCCTCTCTCCCTATTTGGGTTTTTTAGGTTTTCCCTTCTCTTGCTTCCGGCAGTAGCAGTAACAGTGGCAGACCTTGCCTTCTCTCTCACGATTTTCTCTCTCCCTCTCTCTCTCTCTCCCCCCCTCTCTCTCAATGGCGGTGATCGGAAGAGCTTTCCGCCTGCAAATGTGGTATATTTTTTAACATGCAAGAACGGCGAGACACCGGCGAGACCAAGTGTTGTAGCAGCATCACCGGCTCCGATCTCTCAGTCATCTTCCAATGCTTCTGCTCGAAAGAAGATGGCTACTTTCTAATTTTTTACTCTTTATTTTGTTCATATCTTTTGCTTTTTTTTTAATCTCTCCTCTTTATTTTGTTCATATCTTTTGCTTTTTTTTTTCAATCTCTCTGGAGATTGTTCACTAAATGTTTCAAATTTTGTGCCAGAAACCTATTGGAAATAAGGAAAGGGTTCTTCTTGATCTACAGCTTGATTTAGAGAAGGTTGATAGGGAAGTTGCAGTATTGGTGGCACCGAACAGCAACATCCGCAACAAGTTCAACAGCAGCAGCCGCCTCCGCCGCCGCCAGCCCAACCAAAATCTGGAAGAAATGATTTGAAGGCGGAGAAACCCGGTAAACCTACTTGAAGTTCCAATTTTTGCAATGCAGGGTGTCTGTTTTATTGACCCCACGTTATCGCATTGAGTGGCTTCCTTTTTTCTCCTTATCTTTGCTTTTTCTCATAATTTTCTTCTCTGTTTAAGTTCAATTCACCTCTTTTCCGTTGCCGATGACTATGGCGGGCTGACCAGGCGGGCTTACTTCTCTGGGTGCGAATCCGATTACCTCGTTATATTTCCCTGGATGTTTTGGTTATTTATCATTGTAACCGTAACAATAAATATTTCATAGCTAAGAAATTACCCCCATCTTCATAAGCAGATACATGCCACCACTTCAAGCTGTTGTGTCCATGGATGGGAGTTCTGGATCTTCGACGCCTGGCCAGGTATGTGTCATTTTYTTTATGTAGTGTCCACTTGGGCGATGTACCAAAAGTTCTCTAATGATCTTGTGGTGATCTGGTGTTAAAAAAATTTAGGTACCACATTTGTTTCTCTCAACAGCGGCCAAAGAGGTGCGCAACTCATTACCACATTGCTCGGAGCATCTACTGTCATCAGTAGTTTACATGGATGAATCCTTTCTGGCATGCAGTTGCTGGTTCTGCATCTTTTTATGGGGCCAAGCCATACAATCTCAATGTTGTGCCCCCGACAGAAACCACTATTCTTGGAAACCCATTGCAGRGAAGCTTACCAAGTAGGAATTTGAACTCGATTTCAGACAAGGGCCAAGTTGCTAGCACATTTTCTGGTCATACTACAAAGGATAAGAACTCTGCAGTGGCTGCACCCAACTTTGTGGATGTCCAGAGAAAGCAGCATGTGCTCCAACAAGCTCTGCAGTCTGCTTCTTCTGGAAATCTGCTGGTATGGCCCTCTCCTCTTCACTGAATAATTTACTGGTGATGGTTTAAGAAATTTACTAATTTTATTTGCTCTATATGTTAGCATGGTCCTACTTTCATCTTCCCATTTACAGGTGTAAATCGGGCTGTGCCACCTGCCGCCTGACATGATGGTCCATGGGCCATGCCGGCATGGCACGACTGAGTGGGTCGTGCTGCCCGCGGTTATTTATATTATATATAATATATAATATATTATATAAATTATAATTATATAATTGTATAATCATATATAGTATAATATATTAATAAAATAAACAATTGTTTTCAATTTTATTATACTAATTTATTTAATTGTTGTATATATAAGCAATCGTATACATCAAAATTCATATAAAATTAAAATTTTAAGTTTTTTTTTCAATTTTTTAAATAAATAGCTTTGGCCAGGTCCACAGCCCGACCTGGCCCAAGGCTTGGCCCAAGGACCAGACACTCCCTTTCTTCTTTTACTGAATGTTATTCAATTTTCTTTTGGAATCCTATGCACAAATGCAATTACTTGTATAGATTTTTAATTCTTTTGGTCATTATTCAGTTGAATGTAAAGTTTATTGCACATGAAGTATCTTGGTTAAGTTAATCACAGTTGCAACCAATTTACTTAAAATTTTCAATTTCTCTCTGGTGCAGCTTGTTTATTCTAAACTCAGTTGTCATCCCAACGCTACAATGGATTTCGCCCGATGAATGCCAAAACTTTGGTTCAAAAGATCTTTGCCCCCTTGTTGGGATTGTAAAACTATATTCCTTTTTACGTAATGGTATCCAACTATTCTATGTAAGTATGCATTGTTTTTCAAAAAGCTACTTGAGTCATTTTATAATTTATCTCGTATTTCTTTTCACTATACATGGTATGTGCACATGGCAATTTGTGTTTGTAGGGCCTATTGGTTACAATCAGAATTTGTTTTAGAATTGCATTTCAACTAATCAGTCTACAGTTTAGTCAGATTTTTATAGCTCCCCGACTTTAACCAGCCAGTAGAAATTCTTGGCTGGTTCTGGATCACAAGGTATCTGAATAGTCCATTTGTTGCCTCAATTTCTTATTATTTTAATATATGAATTTCTTGTGATTATACAATTCTATAATAGAAAGAATATCATGTAATTGGTCCTAATAGCTCAAAATTAGCATTGCAGCTAATCAATGAAAAAAAAAAAAAACAAAACAGTTTCAAAAGATTGCATCTACATTAAAAGAAAATGGATATCAAATATTTACCTAGCTTCATTACAGGGAGGCTAACCATCACAAGTCAAGGGTATATTGCTTCATAGTTGTTAGATAAGCTTAAGAAAAGGAAGAATTGTCACATACATTGTATTAATTTAGAAAAAGAATATAATAGAGTGCGTAGAGATTAATTTTATGGGTATTGGTTAAAAAGTTAGCTCTTTAGCAGATACTTATCAATCTGTTAGGTATAAATTCCCATTAAAAGAAATGGTACATGTTGTTGCATTAGAGATAAACCACATATTAAGATTGAGATGATAGTATTTTCAATGATAAGACTTAAGAGTAGGACCCAAGCAGAAATCCTCGAGTTAGTTAAGCTGGAAGCTGCACATTGGGTGAAAACTTTGGATGATTTCAAAGTCTTTTCACTAAATGATAATTTAAGAACATGGAAAGAGGTGGCACTATCGGCTATAGACAAGGCAAGGGAAGTGATGGAATGGTGGGGGGTAGGGGGGTGTCTTCAAAGATAAAGAAGGTAGAGTGGTGGCTCAATATTCAGGACCCTTGGAGCATAGTGATGAATTGACAGCTGAACTGGTTAGTCTACTGTAGGGGTTAATACCCAGATTCCTTGGGTATTTAGGTATAAATTTAGGGAGATTGTAAGTCTAACAAGAGAACTAAATGTTTCCTTTAAGTGGGTAAGAAGAACAGCAAATGGAATGGTAGATTCTCTGGCCTAACAACGGGCTGTGAGACGGCATATGTTTTTTGGAAAATCTATAATCCTTGCTGATTTGGAATGGAACTTACACCCCAGATCATGTAATTCCTAATCTTTCATTAATAAAATTCCTTTTCTACTGATAAAAAAAAAGGGATTGCATTTGCATCTACATCTCTCTATATATAGTATGGTGGGACTCATCATCATCATCATCATCTAAGCCCAACTATATGGGGTTGGCTACACGAGTCCTGTTTCACCATTCCATTCTGTATGGTGCAATATAGTATATTGGGGTCAAATAAGATTATTTGGTTTTTACCACTAACTAATTCTTTTCACTACGTTTAAATTGTTGTAGTAATGAATTTTCCATGTAAGGTAGGTAGTGATTTTTGTGGTATTTCTAAGGTGTCCTTTTTCTTTCTTT